TATGTCCTATTACCAATTACTACAGTCATAATGATCAATAGTTAGATTAGAAAGTTAATGAAATATAATCAAATAAATACTGAAGATTATCATGAAATAATTTAAATACGATTTATACCATTAAACACAAGTGACAGCGAAAAGTTGATATTAAAATAGTAAATTGAATATAGTTTATTAAAAAATTGGCTTATTTTGTCTTAGTATCAGCGTCAATTGATTCTGGGATTAATCACTTAATACAACAAACAATGAGAAAATTATTTTGAGGTTAGGTATGCCATAAAGGGTCAAATTTTTCAACAAAGACAATAGAGACGGTAATATCATGCTAATTAACTAGAGCAATGATAGAATATGCCATCTTGGGACTGCTTGCTGCAGTTTTTTAAGGAATGATTTCTACTTATACAAAGTTGGCGTGAATAAAGTTGACTATGGGAAAAATTAAATTTTTTACTAATTTAGGAATTTTGCTACAAAAAATTAAATAATCTTCATTTTTATTTTTTTCGTAAACGACAAAAATATTGAAAAATTGCAAGATCTATGTTATAATTTTATTTTTGTAGTTTTTTTAATTAATTTTTGTGTTATTTTAATATTTATTATGGGTTTAATATTTATTAATAAACAGAAAAAATAAATCTACATAATATTATGAGTTAGTATTTATCAATTTCTTACGTTTCCCGCTATAAAAATGGCTGTAAATTTATTAAATATTGGTTGGATGACTTTTTTTTTATGAGTCAGTCCTTTTTTTCTTCCTACCATTGGTGATTTGCTCGAAAAATTAAAAGAAATTATATTTTTTTCAAAAATTGTACTTTGACGACTCCTACCGGTGAACCAGTGCGAGTTACACAAAAAAACTTTAAGGCTTTTTTGAAGAGTGTGAAATTCCCTACAAGGTCCATCAAACCGATTTGCAATATTGTAAAAGCCGGCTAAGCATTAGAAATTTGAAAAAAAAAAATTTTTTTACATGCATTTTAAATGGTAAAACTTTAAATTTTTATTGTAAGTACTTAAAATTAATATTAAGAGCTCAAACTTGGTAGGAATTTTTTTTTCTATATGTAGATTAATATTTTTCATGAGCACCGAAAAAAAAAAAAATTTTGCGGAAATGAATCACCCTAATATATATATATATATATATATTTATGATTTCGACATTTTGGTGACTTCACTTTTTTTTTGAAAAATATAAAAAAAAAATGATGCGTTTTCACTATGTATAAGAAAATTTTTGATATATACCATAATTTCGAGGAAATCAAGGCCTTTGACATTTTGGTGACTTATATACAAATTATATACATTCATATATGCAAGGTGTGCAATATTTCTTGCACAAAGGATATGTTAACTTTATTCTACCTCTCATATTAGTTTGATAATTGATCCAAATGATTAATTAACTGAATATTTACAGTTTGTAATTATACCATAAATAAATAATAGTTGTTAATGAAGATACGGAAAAATGCAAAATAGTAGAGAAGCTCAAGGAAAAACAAGTAAAGCGGTTTACTCTATAGGCTCTATAGGTTCTATACTCCTGCAACTTGCCACATATCATACAAAAAAAATTATATTATACTAAAGTTAATTCCATTTGTTACGATATATTGAGCTCTTCGAGCTCAAAAATCAATCTTCGATACGCTATTAAGCTTTTCAGCCATTTACTATTTGATTTTCGAAAAAAGAGGTGCAAACAGTAACTTCCTGATTTTAAAAAATTATCAATTTTCTCAACGGGAAGGTAAAAACATATATTTTTGACAATATATATTTTTTGGTGTTTTTATTTAGCTTTAAAATTACAACGAAAATAACGTGTATTTTGGTAGGTGTGTAATTTATATAAGAAAAAAAAAACTATATAATACTACTGCTTTATAACTAGTGTAACTAGAAATAAATTCAAATAATATAAGGATACACGAAAATGTATTAAATATAAATATAAAATCAACTATCCTAGCAAATTAAGTGAAGCTAATAATCGTAGATGTACTAAATAATTAACGATAATTAAAAATATCGAATCATAAATTATACCTGCACACAAAAAAATAAGTTATCTGTACATTTGACCAGACTTACCTACCTGTATGTATTTTGATACACCGAATTAAATTTTTAGATCTGTTAAGTTGGTACACTCCCAAAAGTTCAAGTGAAATGCAGCAAAACTTCAAAAAAGGTAAAAAATCGTAAAAAATTGCAGTTATTGAGATGAAAAAAATTTTCTGGAACTGAATTGAGTCTTATTTCCATGTAATTAGATCTCCCCAAAGAAATTTTATCATCAATTCAATAGCTATAATATTTAGCCCTTTGTACGGGTGTTTTGTATTTTACTCAAATTTTCACAGATGTATAAGATATACGGACCTCGAGTTTAGTTTTGGCGCGTCAAAATTCACATAGGCAAGTACCTAAATCTGGAAAAATGCACAGACCTCTGTTTTGTATGCCGTTGATTTTTATCATAACAGAAAATACATTTATTTTCTTATAAATATGTATTGCAACCTTCACTTTATGAAGTAAAAAAAAAGTTGTAAAATGAATAGTAACATAACTAAAGATAATAAGTATTTAAAAAAAGTTATTAATTAATAATGGAGAGAACCCTATTATGTAAACGTCAATCTCAACATAATCACATTTAAAATATACTTTGTTTTTAAAGTTAAACTTCCTCTTTCTAGTCTTTCGGTTTTTTTACATACTGGTTATTAATCCATGAGCGCAGTTGAGGTTCAGTTCTCTTAAAAGTAGGATTAACTTTAAGAAATTGTCTCATAAGCTCTGAAGAGGGAAGTTTCATTGCTCTAATAAAAGTTCTAAATGTATCAAACACAAGCTTTTTTTCCACATCAGACCACGTTTTTTTTGTATTTATCTTTTTTTGTTTGTCTGAAAAATATTAATGATCGTTAAGAAATTCAAACAAAAATAAAACAGTACTAATTGATCTGAAACAAGTAAAAAATCTTACCTTTCAATAAATCATCTATCTTTGATTTTTTCTTCAAGATCTTAGCAGAACTTGAAGTCTCGTCACTCGAATCTTGATCGCAATAACTTTGACAATTCAAAGTTTTACTATTTTCCGTTTTCTCCTCGTTAAATTTTTGACCTGAGTCGTATCACTGAAATTTTCTGAATCAGAACTTTCATTTTTCTCGTGGTGTTGCATATTATCTAAAAAGGCATTCCGGTCGTCATTATTAGAGTCATGAGCTGTAAATATACATATTTTAGGAAATTTAATACTTAAAGAATAGAGATTGGCCAATTCAACTTTTAAAATTAAAAATTGAAATAAATCATGTAAATTAATTTAAATAGTGTATATTAATTAAGCGAATATCAAATAAAATATACCTTTAACCTGTTTTTGCGTAGGCTCATATATAGACCTGCTTTGATCACGTCGTATCATACTATTCACCCCTGAGGCGACTTCCAAAATTTGGGAAACACCACAAACGTCCCGAGTTACAATTGTCTGTCGAAAATGGTCACGATGAATTTGTTCAGCGTGTCCCATAAAGTTTGAAACATCATATATTTGACACTCATCGATTTTAAGAGATGCTACTGTCGTAGCAAAGTGTTTTCGAAGTTCTGTAGCTCGCAATCTTTCAGGATACTTAGCATTGCACTTTGTACTATAATGACGCATCAAGGCACATGCTTCTAGGTGGTGGTAACGTGTTCCATCAAATCCTGGCAGAGCAAAAATAAACGGGTTGTCAGGATGAATTCACGCTGCACTTCGATGTGAAATTATAATATCGATAAAAGAACGCATGCCGGTTGATAAGAGTAATGGCACTTCTCGACCTCTTTTTCCACTGAATTCAATACGCATATATTCGTCGACTAATTTTTTATCTTCAGTCGATAATCGATTGTACTCGTCTTTGTTTGTTTCCTTGAATGTTTTTGCTCTTTTATAATCATCCAAACGAATCCTTTCCAATTCTCCTGGTCGCTTACGGTTAAATAGTAGAATTAATATAAGCGTAAATTGAGACAATAGTTTCCATGCATCGTGCTGAAATCCTGCAGCCAACGATTTTATCGCTGAAACTAAACTGGTTTCAATGTAATCTCTGAAACAATTTATATCTTCCATTGTTGGAAGAGGTTTTTTCGTGTACCGTTTTTGTATAATTTGAGCATTTTTTGCCAGTGTACTAATTCGGGTTGGAAATTCTACTTCGTGGACTTCTAAAAAATATTTTACAATATCGCATCGTCCGAAATCTAACTTTTTTATTAACTCCTTTTTATAAACTTTAGCTACTTTCGTAATCCATGTACCCGCAGTAGTAGCAGTTGAAGGAGCTCTACATTCACTAGTTTCTGTGTTCACACCAACAATCGCTTGAATTGCAATGATCATATTGTCATAGAGTCTCGGATCAAGAATATCAGCGAAACCTTTAACGTCTACTGGGTTATATATATACGATATAACGCGGCTTGTCACCACGATAGCGTCGCCAATTTACTATGGATCTTTATCAAACTCAACATACTTATTCCACAGATAGATACCGAGGTCAAGTTCGAAGATGAGCACCAAATCATTTATAATGAACGAAGTTGAAAATATTTTTACAATGGATAAAAGTACCTAAATTCATGGAAAAAATATAAGTGAGAAATATTTGCACTGAAAAAAAAAAGTATTTTTTGCATCAAGAAAATTTTGACGGAGGCCAAAGTTATATTGGAGCAAAAAGAAGTGTTTTAGTCTCAAGAAATTTTGACTTCATTTATGGAATTTTCAGTCATTTTTAATATATTCTTGGTTCAAAGAAATTTACCTTTGAGTCAAGATTTTTTTTCTGCAGTGTATGAAAACATACAAGCATAAATATAAAAAATTTATATCTTACATGTATTTAATTTATATGTATTTTTCTTAAAAACGTAACTGAAAGATGTTTTGTATGTTATTTTATAATATGTTAGATATATTCATTATATTAGAAATATATATTAATATTAAGAAATTATAAATTTTTGTTATTAAGAACAGACGTGAATTTGCAAGGTACTGGCCTAAATCAGCTGTTCACCTCTTCCTGATTCTTACAAAATTTCAAACCAATTTTCACTAATATTTAGCGATTAATTGTTAACTAGACATCTTGTTAAAGATGTTTTATGCTTGATAAATTTTGATAAATCGGTAATATTAAAAAAATACATCCCCCAAATTTTATCAATATTATAGAAAATAATCGTTTGTCACTGATTTAGAAAATGACTTTCAAATAACGTCAGTATTATGTACAATTGTGAAAAATTATTGATGTTAAATAATGACTCACAAATGGTATCAGCATTACGTACGACCGTGACTTGTCACTGATGTAAACACATGATATTAATCTTACGTCAAGATTACGTACAAATGTGACTTGTCACTGATGTAAACGCTTGATGTTAAACTTACGTCAAGGTTACGTACAACCGTGACTTGTCACTGATGTAAATTCATGATGTTAAACTTACGTCAAAAATACGTACAACCGTGACTTGTCACTGACGTAAACGCATGATGTTAAACTTACGTCAAGATTACGTACAACCGTGACTTGTTACTGATGTAAACGCATGATATTAAACTTACGTCGTTATGACATACAATGATGACATTAATGTAACGTAATATTGTAGTTTATATATTATGTCAGTTGTACGTAATATCTAAGTCATTTCCGTGATATCATAGAGAAGTAATAAACTTACATCATTATGATGTCAAAATTTTATCATATATTTTTACATCATAATTGGATCACAAGACAGGTCAATTTGACGTCATATTTACGTAAAATATTGTGACATCCCTATGACTTATAAATTACGTCATATTAAAGTTATGTGTTCACTGGGAAAATATTTGATAATTAATAGTAATAAAAGTATAGTCCAGCTTTACAATAGTTGTATTGTAAATTTTCCCAGAAAATTTTTCCCGTGTACATGATTATATATGGAATTGTATATGAGGCCATATATATTCATTGTTACGTTCCCAAAAATACGATAAGTAAATTCGTTGAGATTAAAAAGATTTAATACCAGGTTTTGAGACCTTGGGTAGTCGATCGACCCCCGGTGTGTCATTACAGATGAGCTTACTTGCTTTAATTTAATTATTATCGACTCACCATTATGGGCCCCATAAATCGGCCCAAATAACCTCCTGGGTCTCCAAGTACTTAGCTTCAAAAGGCGGGTAGATGTCACAGCCCGTCTTCCGGAAGTACTCCTCAGAGTAATATTCGTATCGGGGGTCTTCGATAGGGATGACGCCTCCTGGAGGGTGAACCTCGGGAACCTCTACGGGGACCAACTCCCAGGTCCTGGTGGTGTCCGTCCAATAGGCAGGGCGGTTGTTGCCGACGAAGGTTGACCGACCTTTTGGACGCTGGTACGGCGGTGACTTGGCCGAATCCTCCTCGGCGGTCCGTACTACTCTTACCCGTGGTTCGATGAGTATTTCGTCGTCGATTATGTGCAGCACCGGCTTCGTAGCCCGCACTACTTTCACTCGCGGCTCAACTAGAGTTTCGTCGTCAATTACCGGTAACGACAGATAGAACGGCTGGGCCAAGAGACGACGACGTTTTGTGCCGAGCGACCTGATCGACGTGATCGTCTGCCTAGAGGCATGAAGGAGTTTGGTGTTGGCGAAGCGGTTGGGACCTGGTGGAATGCCAATAAAGCATTCGCCCAGCAGGAGGGTAAGGCTGGAGAAGGCGCTGACTAGCGCTTCTACCGAAGGATTATTTATATGGGGTAGAACAGCCGTGAAGCGCTCGGCCCCATAATAATTGTAATGGACTATGTATTCGGTATAGTTGGTTTATTTGGTAATAGGATCTGGAGAGGTTCAAGCCTGGAGACGGAGCTCTCTGCACTAGAGAGTTTCGAGATCTACTGACTGAATCTGCTTCAGAACAATGTTTATAAATCTTATTGTCAGCCATGTTGGTAGCTCAGGTTACTCCTGAGAGAGTCGACGAGGCCCGGGTCCCATGCTGACGCAAGATGTTTTGGTTATCCGCGGCCACGGCAACTCTCTGCAGACGCCTTATCACAAGAGATTTCCGTTACTTCGCTGTTGGTATAACCACCAGCGAAGCAACAGATATCGCTTGTTATGCGTTCTGAGAATCTGATCAGTCGAAATAAGAACGTTTAAATAAAATGAATAAATCTCCAAAAAAAAAGTTATTAATTAAATTTAGGCAGAAATTCGTGGAACGTAACACCTCCCAACCTTGGAAACTTGCAGTGCTTTTAACAATAAGTGGTGCTAGTTTTAGTGACTCGATACAAACCAAAAAGTTTAATGAATTTCGCCTTTTCTTAAACTAAACCTGAGGTACCCACAATGGCTGATTTTTCTAAAATCTAGATGCCCCAAGCCATAAATAGACTTGTTAGCTTACAATTGGTGTGTAATAATCATATAAAAAAAATAAAGTAATAAAAAAAAGTAATAATGTCGCGGTCTTGCCGCGATAAAATAGACAGTTCATTTGATAATGAATAGTAATATAAGCTGAACAAAGCTTTATATAAAATAATATAGAATTAAATCTACTTTTTGGCAATGCAATTGCTTAAAGTTTTATTCTTCTAATATGTTTTAGTTATTAATTCTGATTAATACTAATTACTTATGACTATTAACAATATTTCAGTTTTTAGCGAGAGGCGGATCGATTTGGCTATTATCGCGCACTTCGCGGTTACGTAGTCGCACTAAAGTTTCCCCACTGAGACACTCATGTAGTTTTATACGCGGATCTTCCTGTTGATGATCTTCCAGCTGCTTGGATAGCTTCCCGTATGACATCTCTTCGGGTGGTGCTGACTGTCTGTAGTCCTGATGTTCGTCAATGATATAAATGATTGACCTCGGTCGAGGTATCGGGGCCATAGGTCGCTGTCCTTCTTCATCGAAAATCCGTCTTTGATGATGGTGACGATGGAGTACAAGGTTGGTTAACGTGTCGTAGACCGCTGTTACTAGTAATACGCTACACCCATATATAGTATACAAAGCGTATGCATGGAATAATGTATCAAGGACGAACTTCAGTAGTCTGATGATAAGCAAAATTGAAAAAACGCCGGCGGTAAATGAGCCGAAATCTATTAATGCTCGCCAGATCTTCCAACCGGTGCTTGTTGCTAATTTCTCAAGGGCTTCTTCGTCGAATAAGCCCATGACGTCTACGATTCCTGTTGGAATTATTCGCCCTGCTGCTCCCATTGCGATAGAATTCAGAAGTGCAGGTCTCTCTGCTGGGAACATGATGCGGCTTCTCAGCTTTTCTAAATCTTTTTGCGAATAGATTCCAGAGGTTGCCAAATGTTCCGGATTTTCGTAGTTCCACGTTGGATTGGTTAACGGTTGTAGCTGCTGGGGTTCAGGTGCTCTGATTGCTTGCGGTGTTATGTGAAACCAGACGCCGTCGATAAAGTAACCTATTGGTAGGATAGTGTTTCGGATGTTCGGTCTTTATTACCGTATGCCCACATACGTCCATCCAGCCCCGCTGCGCGAGTGCAAATGTGATGTCCTCTGTCGTGAGTGAGTAAATATCCGGCGATTCGTTTTGACCGACTAATTTTGTGGCGGGCCCGTGGTAAAGTTGCGCATATTTCATAAGGCATGAGTCCTTTGGTACTTCGCTCCAAAATGCAGACATACCGTCACTGGTTACGCAAGTAAGTTTTTCCGCGTTATATATCGTTCCCGAACGCAACATCACTTCGTTAGTTTTAGTATTTAACGCGGTTTCGTATTCGGTTAATGTTATTTCAAAAGTAGCATCTACTACTACTCCCGACCACGTACCGTATTCATCACTGAAGGTTCCTTTTTCGCAATCGCCCCCCATACTTTGACTACCTGCTAAAATTGCCAAACGATGACTTGTACTGTTCATCTTTAGTTCGTAGAATGGCACTCGATCAAATAGCCAGACCGACCCGGTCTCGTGCATTCGTTTACATTTATTATAGTCTATATCCATATAGTATTCTCTTCTACCGTATAGTACTAAGGATGTATGGGAGTGCATGCCGCAATGCTGAATATTCCAATTAATCAGAATTTTACACTCCATCACGTGTACTTGAATTATTTCCGCGGGTTGTAAAAGATAAATATTGACCGTCTCCGATTGAGGCGGGGTGTTCGCTATTTTGCACTCCCCTACATCCAACAGTGATAATGTTGAAGTATTCATGGAGGATCCGCCGCAGTCGTATCCTACCAATCCCTGAGAAAGGGGGAGGGACACCAACAGTATAAAAGCTCCGTAGAATAAAGCCATCTGGAATTATATGCGAGAAATTCTCAATTTATTTAAGTGTACAAGTCTTATAACTCCATCTACTTCTATTTCTGCTGTTTCGTTTTGACGTATCCCTATTACTTCGTGAGGACCAGTATACTGCGGGTCGCCCTTGCCCTTTCTGGGCTCTAGTAACAGGAAAACTCTTGTTCCTGGCCTAAATCTGCGGATTTATTTTCCTATCATAGTAAAGCTTAGATTTTTCTTTAGCCCTACGCAAATTTGCTCCGGCAACGGTTTCTACCTGTCGGATGCGTCTAAACAATTGTTCTAAGTATTCTGCGTACGTTACATTTGTTTCTTCAATTGTTTGAAATTGAGAAGGGAGACGGGGTAATTTCCCGAAAACTAGCTGGTATGGAGTGAACCCTGTGCCCTCGTGTTCACTTACGTTGTAAGAAAACGAGGCTAAATCCAGGTATTCATCCCAGTCTTCCTCCTCATTTATGCATTGCTTAATATATTCCTGTAAGGCATGGTGCGATCTTTCGACCGAACCATTACTTTGTGGACTGTAGGCAGACGTATGATATTGTTTAATTTTATATTTCCTCGCGACGTTCTTTAGTAGACTAGAAAGGAAATTTGTTCCTTGATCAGTTAATATAGCTTTCGGCGGGCCGAAGTAACAAAACCACCTGTTTACTAGGGCCTTTGCCACTTCGACTGCCGTTGCTTGTTCTAACGCTATAGCCATAGAGAATTTAGTTAGTAAATCCTGAATGGTAAGTATATATCTGTTGCCCGACGCAGAAACATGCGTGGGATACATGACATCTAATCCAATTTTATCGAATCCCGCATCCGGGGTATCTGTGAGAACCATAGGTTGTCTAGTTTTGACTCTGACTAATTTTTTTAGTTGACAATCCAGACAATTTTGAATATAGTTAATGACATCTTTTTTTATATTAGGCCAAAAAAAGTTCTGCCGGATTCGTTTGTAAGTTTTGGTCATACCTTTATAACCACCTACCGCGGACCCGTGATATTCTTCTAAGATTTGAGCTCTTTCCTCGTCATCCGGAATGCGAACTAGGTTGAGACATATAGTAATTTTTACATCTGTGTTGGAAAAGAGTTCAATTAACCTGCGCTGGATTGTCGACCAATTGACGTCATCGATCTTATCCGTTTTTGCAATACTAAATGATTCTAATCCTAATTCTGTTACATTTGTTTCAACATTATTCAAAGTATCACAGATGTCATCCATGGATACGAGATCGACTGCTCTATATTTAGGCACGGCCAGAATACAGTGCTTCCTTTTCCCCCTGTATGGAATTACAGTGGACTTAAGATAATTAACGCGTAAGTCGTTGGGGATTTCCAACACCCCGAACAGTTCGCGGCTGCCTTCATCGTAGGGATCGCCTTTGACATTGACGAAAATTAAGATATTGTCCGCCTGCATTGATAATCGGTCTCAAGTCTCCCGGACATTAGGCGCGATTTCGCGTGTATGCGGTGTGGTTGCCGCCCGATTATTACGCGGAGGCCGTTCGGGGTTTTCATTATCCGCACTCAGCCTCTCCCTCCTCAGTGACTGACGATCGTCCTTGGAGTCATCTGCGTCCGTTTGCAAATCGGGTTCCTCGTCCGCGTCTTCGTTATCGCTACTTTCATCAACATCCATGCCGGTCTCGCGATTGTTGTCCCTACTCTCGCGATTATTCCGTTCAATTTCCGTGGAAGGGTCGTCGGAAACCCCTCCGTATGTTGAATCACCCGAGGATAGATAAGGCATATTACCGGGACGCGTCTTAGGTGTAAAAGGTTTGTAATTATTTTTTTCAGTATCTGTTCGCTCATCGTCAGAGACGATCGGCGCTTGGGGCGCTGTTGATGGTCCAGGTTGGTCCAAATTCGGAGTTGGTTGCGCTTTAGAGGGTGGGGCTGGTATAGCCTATTGCCGAGGCTTGAAAGTAAAACGCACCGGCGGAGATTTCTTTTTGTTAATTTCGGTTTCTGAATTACTGCTTTGCTCTGGCGAGTCGTTGAGCGCTCGAGCTTTCCTTCGAAGATTGTAGGGCCTTCGAACGCGTTTTCCACTTTCGGCAGGGTCTTCTTCGCTCGTTTCCTCCGGAGTCGATATAGTTACATCCGGATTCTTTTGACGAATCGACGCTACCTGTGCGAGTTCCTCGGGTTCATCGACTGGATTACGTGATAAAGAGTCCACGTTAGAGTTTATTCGGCCTGGCTTGTATACGACTTTATAAGTGTAGTCTTCCATGATCAATCGCCATCTAACTATGCGAGAGTTTAGCGACGTTACCGAATTTACCCATGTCAAAGGTCGGTGATCAGTTACTAACGTGAATTGACTCCCGTAAATATATGGTCGAAACTTATTAACGGCGTATACTATCGCGAGCATTTCTTTTTCTATCGTAGAATAATAACGTTCTGCGGAATTTAATAGTCGCGACGCGTATGACACAGGTCTATCTTTGTTAATTTCTCCTTGACTTAAACACGCCCCGATCCCATAATCACACGCATCTGTAGTTATAATGAACTCGCGGGAAAAATCAGGGAACTGTAAGATAGGTGACCTTGTTAATTTATTTTTTAACGTTTCGAAGGCTTCTATTTGACTTTCGCTCCATTCAAATACGGCGTCTTTTTGCAATAATGAAGTTAAAGGTTTGCTAATTTTTGCATAATTGTCAATGAACCTCCTGTAATAACCGGTAAGTCCGAGGAACTCGCGGACCTTTTTAAGAGTGTTGGGCGTTGGAAATTTTTCCACCGCGTCAGTTTTTTTCGGGTCGGGTTGGACCCTATTTGCTGATATAATATGACCTAAGTACTTTATTTCCTTGCGGAATAAAAAGGCATTTATCAGGCTGTAATTGCAGACAAGCTTGGCGCCCACGTTCACATAATTTCTCATTTTTAGCGACGTGTTCCTCGAAAGTTCTCGAGTAAACTACAATATCATCCATATAGACAAACACACCTCTGCCCATCATGCCCATTAACATCTTATTCATTAGTCGTTGGAATGTCGGAGGGGCATTTTTCAACCCAAACGGCATTCGCACGAATTCATAGTGATGATCTAGCGTGGAAAAGGCAGTTTTGTGAATATCATCCAGATGTATTTTAATTTGGTGAAACCCACTTGCTAAATCGAAGGTGGAAAAATACGTTGCACCGCCAGTCTGATCAATTATTTCAATAATGTTAGGTGTCGGATAAACGACAGTAAAAGTTTTTTCATTTAAGTCCCTAAAGTCGATTACCATGCGCCACCTTTTATTCCCTAACGAATCGTCTTTCTTTTTAACGATCCAGATGGGAGAACAATAACCAGACTCCGAGGGTCCAATTATACCTTTTTCCTCTAATTCCTTGACCTGTCTCAAAATCTCCTACTTGTGAATTGGAGGAAAGCGATATTGTTTCTTAAATACTGGTTGATCATCAGTAGTAATAATTCGATGCAAAATTTCATTTGTTGCACCAAATTTTTCCTGGGCAGATAAAATAAGTCCTGATTTTTATACAGGAGATTCTCTATCTCTACGCGTTGAGGTTCCGATAAATCATCGGGAAAATGCACGGAATCGATTACTTTTTGCGCTCGTTCCGGCGTTTTCAAATCTTCAGATATCGAGAATACTTTTGACTCTAGATTTTCTGAAATTATTCTGGCATTGGACAGAGCGTCCCCCGTCTGCCGTAAATTAACCGTAGAAGGTTCCGAGCAAATATTTGCTCCAAAATTGTTAACGCGTGAAGAATCTTTAACTATTATTTTTGAGTTTGGGGAGTAATCGCTTTCGTCCACCCACAGGGGTGATTTCAAATTAATTACAGGTTTCGGAATTAGAATTTCCTGGTCTGTGTTATTGTAAGCTCTTAAGAGCGTGCTACCATCATCGTTGGTGTCAAAAGTGCCGCCCAATTCGACTTTTGAGGCACAATAAATACGCGGCACAAAGCCGTGATAACAAGAATCAGAAGTAGTTTTGATAATTATAGTAGAAACGGATTCTGGAGGCAGTTTTTCGACTTCCGTTTCGAAAAATGGTACCTGAACGTCATAAAACGCAAATAATTTACAATCAAAGAAAACTCTCGCACCCTATTCGTTAAAGAATTTTGCACCTAACAAGGCAGGGTGTACAGTGGGAAAATTATTTTCCACGACGTTAAATTCGATATCATATCCGATCAATTCTACGTCGGTTTTCCCTAACGTGTATACCAGATCATCATTAATGCCTGATAGTGCTAATTTAGAGTTTCTATCGATAGTTTGCGGTTTACAAAGCGCACCGATTTTTATTATATTTACTTCTGAACCCGTATCCATCATGATAGTTGTTGAATTTACGATGTCGGTACTCTTTGCTAATATAGCCGGTACGTTTGCCTTTCGTAAATTAACTACTGCTGTTGCGACGTTGACTGGCCCGACGCATTTTTCGGCGGGTTTTTCGAATTTTCCGGACTCCCGTGGGACCCGTCGTTTCTCCCCGGGAGAGTCAAGTTTCCCGATTGTCCGAAACAAGTTTGAATAAGAGCGGAAAATTTAATGCAGCTATCTAGCCCGTGGTTTGTTTTTCCACAGCAAGGGCATGGCTCTCCTGATTTTCCTTCTCTTTTATCATCTGACATTGGCGATTCGCTCTTTTTCTTATTCCCGTCGTTATTTTGCTTATTAGCCTTTTTCTGATCGTTACCGTCTTTCTTTGCGTTAAGACCTACGAAACCCGGAATAAGTTTTTTCCAGCATTCTGCTTCGGTACGACGGTACGCGCCGCAAAATTTACATCGAGTATCCCTATTACTATTTTTCGAGCATTTACCATGTTTCGCTTTTTCGCTATTAGTATTACCCTTAGTATTATCCTGAATATGCGCGACCGTTGCGACGGGTTGAGTACCCGATGCTGTTTGAGCTTTGAAACGTGTCTTGTTTAATTCAGCTTCTATAAATGCTTCAATAGCGGACGCATAAGTTTGCTCTAGATTTTTGTGCGGACGCAACATGCATTGCATTTGAAGAATAGGCTGGGTGCCATTAAGGAAAGCGGATATACAATCTTTGTCTCCTTGAGGCTCTGTGTTATCACTATGTAAACTGTAAAAATAATTATGAGACTCATCAAGGAATTACTAGATATAAAAGTCTAATAATACCTAAAGTTAACAAAGCAATAGCATTTAAAAACTCCACCATTGTTGCGATAAAATATTTCAATAAATTACCTGCTCATCTAAAAACGCTAAATCTAAATAATAAAATAATAAGAAAAAAATTGAAATACTGGTTGACAACCACTTTACAAAATTAGACTATGTATTTTCATCATATATACACGTATTTTTTGTTTTTGTTTTTGTATACTTTTCAATAGTAAAGATCCTTTTATACGACGTGTTCCTACATCACCCTATTTATATGTCGAGGGATGCTAATATAAGTTATGTTTCTTTTCTTAGGATAAGTCATTAGCCAGGCCTATGTACAGGTGTTGTTTCACACCTCTATAGGTACATGCACTGCGTATTATATATTAAATGTATTATGTATGTATGTATATATCTTTGTATATCCTGGTAATAAATAAATAAAAAAAAAATAAATAAACACAAAAGTCGTTGTTGGTAGGAGCCCTTGACACGCGTTGAGTATTTTTAGGTTATAATTAATAATAACAGATATTATTAATGTTATCTTATATTATTAATTTACTATTAATTAATTAATTGTATGATTAATTTAAGAGAGTTATTATAATTAATAATGAGAGTTACACTGACATAAAAAAATAACAATTCTAAACGTCACTATACTAAGTTTGATACATAAACACACATTTACATTAATGATGGCCGACAACAGTGGAGGGAGTGAGAGAAACAGGAGACCGGCTTCGGTCTCATCCCTACTCCGCGTTGTTCACTGGGTAGTTACACCGATATAGTCTGGCCAATGAGTATCCAGAGTAAAAGCGCGGAAAATTTTAAAAATTAATTAAATTACTAAAATAATTATTAAAAAATAGGGGTTGGTGATAGAAGGGCAAAAACTTAGAGTTGTATGTATTTTTGAATATCGTATCATAAAAAAATAAAAAAAAAATTTTGTCAATAAAATGAAAAAAAAAAATTGAGGGGTGGACCACCCTTATTATTTAGGGGTGTGAAAAATAGATGTTAGCCGATTCTCAGACCTACCCAATATGCTTACCAAATTTCAGAGGAATCGGTCAAGCCGTTTCGGAGGAGTATAGAGACTAACATTGTGACACGAGAATTTTATATATAAGAAGGTATATATATATATATATATATATATATATATGTTAATAATAGTAATAATAATATAATAATCAGGTCTCTACATAGGACCTTGTAATTTATTAACGACGTATAATTTTTACAAATAATCATTATTGGTGGTCCATGTTTCAAAGTTAACCTCTTAAAAATTTTTGTTTATGTTGAATCGAACAAAAAATTTAATCAAATTTGAATTCATAAAAATCCATTTATTTTACAAGAAAATCATTTTTTCTTGTAACTTCCCGCTAAGAAAATTGAAAAATACACTCCAAATATTGTTGACTGATAATAATTTATCCAAGAATTTTTTATACAAGATTTGTATTAGTTAAAATTCATAATAATTATTTTTAGCTTATAATTTACAACTGTTTATATCGATATACTTATAAAAATATATCTTGTAACTTCAATTTAATGACTGTACTTGTCATTATAACT